TTTGAACAATGGTGAGAATATAGCAAAATAGGAAAAAGTCAGAGATTCCCAAAGAAGGACTAGGATTCAGAGCAGGAATAGGCATTGGCTTTAAGAGACATGCTTGTCCTATTTAGATGGAGGAAAAGAGAATGATGCAGATATAAGCGGGTGACCAAGTTTTGTTGTGACATTTTGTGGAAACTCCTGAGAGCTTCTACTTTTACCTATGAATTAAAAAGTTAAAAAAGTAAAAAATTACCTGCAGAAAACTAAAGGGAATAGTGAGGGTAGTAAGAGGCTTAAGAATATTGATCTGGGGGTGCCTGGGTGGCTCAGTGGGTTAAAGCCTCTGCCTTCGGCTTGGTCATGATCCCAGGGTCCTGGGATGGAGCCCCGCATCGCATCAGGCTCTCTGCTCAGCGGGGAGCCTGCTTCCTCCCTCTCTGCCTACTTGTGATCTCTGTCAAATAAATAAATAAAATCTTTAAAAAAAAAAAAAGAATATTGATTTGGAATGGTCATTGCAGGGACCAGCAGAAACTGGAAAAATCTAGTGGGATTATAGGAGTTGAGTCTTGATTTGACCCAGGTAACCATGAATTCAGTCTTATAAATTTGCTCTGTAGTGATTTCCTTGGGCTTTTAGCTGTCCAAATTCAAACACAGTCAAATGTCTCATTTTATCTGAGTCCAATAAAGAGATGACAAAGACATTTAGCCTGTTCCGAGAAGGAATGGAATTTAAGTTGGACAGGAATCTTACGACAAAAGGCATTAATGCAGGCTGCCTGGGTGGCTCAGCTGGTTAAGTGGCTGCCTTCGACTCAGGTCATGATCCCAGCGTCCTGGGATCAAGCCCCACATTGGGCTCCCTGCTCAGCTGAGAGCCTGCTTCTCCCTCTCCCTCTGCCTACTTGTGCTCTGTCAAATAAATAAATAAGTAAGAAAGTAAGTAAGTTAATGGAAATAAGGTAGGAATCAATAGCTTGAATGCTCCAGTGAAATCAAAGAATAGTAAAGGACATATCAATAAGCAAAGCAGAAGGAATATAGTCAGTAAATAAGATGCTGGTAATAGTGTTTTAAAGATGGAGCAGTTTGGGGTAATGACAATGGCCAGGACATAACTACGGGTGTGGTTAGCTAAGACAAGGAAGACTAAGACTGAGTCGAGGAACTAAGAAACTGAACTACTGAATGGACTGTCCAGTAACATTAAAGCATCAAGTTATAGGAAGACCAAGGGCTACCTATTTTAAGGAAAGCATTAGTTACTAAGGACAAGTAATAGGAGAAGGTGGTATAGTTCAATATACTCAGAGGAATCAGACTTTTCAAAGGAGTAGGCAGTTAAGTTCTGAAGCCACAATGGCAAGAACACCAACTCTGTCTCCAGTATGTATTTGTGATAAGAGATAGAGCTTTAACATTTATTCTTGTGTTGTGCTTAAAATGTCACACTGCTCTCATTACACCAATGGATATCACTTTATGGCAAGACCTGAAGGGGCCATCAGTGACTACAGGAGATGGATAACAACAGTAGGGTTCTTCTAAGTACCGAACATGTTTATAAAGAGAAAAGAAGAGGTTAAAAACTTAAGGGATTAACTAATGGATTACACGGAGGGATACTTGCTTTTCCAAGCCTAGGGACAGGCTCGGTGCAGATAAGCAAGCAAGATAAACTCTGGAAATTCAGAGAACATAGCCTCTAGAGTCAAGACAGATCTTGTTCTTAGCCCTTCTCCAGCAAGTAGTAGTTAAGTGACATGGAAACAGAGACAATTTACAATGGAAATTTACTAGAAGGATACACACGAATGTCCATATAGAAGAGTCCTCCGACCAGCATCACAGTATTCCAGGTCCCCATTCCCATCTTGGAATTGTTAAGTTCACAAGCTGTTTTAGCTGTAGTTACTTACCAAGGAGAGAACTTTATTGGTATGCACAAAGCCACTCAGTAGGGAAGTTCCTGGTCAGCAACTAATAGGTTCCTAGCAAAAGCTTTTGTTCAAGATACAGGAGCTAAAGAGGCAAAAAGCTGTTTGGAGCCACTTTTCTCAAGAGTTAACTATGTATAAGATAGGGTTCTGGTACACTCTGGATTCTTGCTTCCTCATCTTTTAAGTGGAGATAATATCTCTTACTTGTAGTTTTGCTATAAAAAGATGAAGATAAAGCAGGACATGTATCAGTATCAGAACCCATACAAATTGGGTGGCTCAACGGATATTTTGAGTGGCAGCCTGGTGTAGTAAAAAGTACATGGATTCTAAAGTCAGATCTGTATCTATAAGGGTCTGCTACTAGAGAATCTCAACTTCCTGATCCACAAAGGGGCGGGGGATGTCTGCTCTGTGGGTAGTTTTAAGGAGTTTTTATTATTATTGTGGGAGCCGATGTCTAAGAACTTCCATTTCCTCTATAAAAAACAAAACATGGTCACCCAATGGGGAACAGCTAAACGTGAAGTGGGAGATAAGGAGAACAGTGAAGGTGTAAAATAATCACCATGGTGATTAGGAGATGAAATACACCAGGAAGCCACAAAGGGTTGCTTGTTGGTAGTGAGGGCTTGGTTGAAGTTGGGAGACCTTGAATATTTAGTGCCACTCGTTACACAGCTGTGTTTTTCTCTAGCGTCTCAATGGAGGAAAAGAAAGATAAAACAGCTGGAATGATATAAAAAGGACACAAGGGAGGCAAGAAAATGCAGTGATGGAGGATAGGTCATTGAGACTGCTGAATACAGAAGTAAATTTCAAAAGGAGGACGATAAATGAGAGAAGAATAGAGAGGCTCAACATGGAAATAACAGAAAAGCGATAGCAGGAACATAGGGTAGAGGACAGAAGAGTTGAAATTATAGACATGCAGGTAACGATAAAGCAGTCCCAAGGATTTGCTTTATTCCCTTTTTCCCCATAACCACCATCATCTACTTCTCCCTTGGGCTTCTGTCCCTCAGGTCTGGCTATATAGCAGAATATGGTCCTCCAAGTTTCCCCTTTCTGACTCTCCTGAAGACAAGCACACAGATCTTCTTTGTAAAGGCTTTACCACTCATTCTGGGGCAGACAGAAAATAGTAAGAAAGTAACAACTTGGGATAATGGCTGAAGTTCCAGAACACCCCAAAATTCTTACAGGTTTCATCTCTGTTCTGGAGCTACTGACTTTCCGGGAAGCAATGCCTAGAAACCCTGTCTGTAATTTCTTATCTGTTGTCCTTAGTTATCTCCTCCATTCTCTACATCTAGCAGAATTCCTTAGAGTCCACAAAAAGAGTTATGAATGACTGCACACTGGCTCACAAATGAGCCATTTAAGTCAGACAGGTTTAAGTGAAGGAGAGCTAGAAAGAGGTCTCATTTTCTCTGCCATCTGGGCAGAAACCAACTTCCTGTTGATGTCACTAACATTAAAATTTTACCCACAGACCTTGCTATAACCAGGTGCCTAGGAATGTTGAGGTTTTCCTTCTACACACAGACAGCAATTTCTCCACTGCCAGGGCTGAAGCCAACCGATATGTGCTAGCTAACAGAATAAAGGATGATGCCAATAAAGTGGGCAAACCTTCCCCGACCAGGACATAAACCAAAGAGAGTAAAAGCGGGTTTATTGGCTCGGGAAAAGGAGCAATAGTACCCGCTCTCAGGTAACCCCTCACTCTATATACAGGCTGCATCCAGCCCAAGGTCCACTGGCTCCTTCAACTTGAGGGTCCATCCAGTGCCTCCCTTCCTGGAGTTGAGAGGGCTAGCTGCCTGATGGTGAGGTTCCGGACTGTTCAGCAGCAACACCTGACCCAGCTGAGGCAGCCTCGTAGTCTGCGATGCGGCGCTGTACCAGAGCAGGCATGAGCTGCACATAAGCGGCCATAAGGCGGTGGTTGGAATGGATCAGCTTCCCAGCACAGCTGTGCAAACAGGCTTCCTGGATGGAAGACAGGGTGAAGCAGAGGCCAAAGGTGTCCTGTCGGGTCGGTCTCCTTCCTTCCCATCCCTAGCCTAGGGGTAAGGGTCGTGGAAAGGCCAGAGCCAGAGGCAGGGGAAGTCGGGGTTGGGAACAGTCTACCGCGAACCTCCCTACAGAGTTCCCCACCTAACCTCCTCAGCATCCAAAGCTCGGTGGTGCAGGCTGGGCACGCAGCGCTGGAAGCAGAGTTCGGTCATCCGATTGTAGACCAACAGGAAGTCCCGCAACTAGGAGAAAAGGGGACAAAGAACTCAGCAATGAGGGGGCACCTCGAGGCCTCGTTGCTCGAGTTTCCCAGGACCGTGCGCCACAGCCCGACGTTCCCAGCCCTCCGAAGTCCAGCGAAATGGGCAAGGATCCTAGCTGAACCTATGGCCCTGCAGCGACCTAGCACCCACTCACGTTCCTCAGTTGCTGCTGCTGCTGCGGTGGCTCCATCGCGCCACCAGCCCTCATACGTCACTTCCTTACAGCCGCTCGGTAACGCCCCGGAAGTGATCTCTCCCTGCTCCCCAGGGACTGAGGGGGTTGGCTCAAGGATCGCCATGCCCCCGCTAAACGTCATTTCCGCCCTTATAATCTGCGACGTGGCCGGCTTCTTCTGCCCGGGAAGGGACGTCACTTCCGCCGAGTTCTTGACCTGCTCCTAGGATCGCGACGGGAACTGGAGCCTGAGGTCCCCGCGCGGCCCGGGCCTGGCGCCCTGAGGGGAAGAGCGGCCCGGCCGGAGGTGAGAAGGACACACCTGGGCGAGGGGAAGTTGAACGCACGAACCTGCCCTAAGGGAAGATGCCACTGAGCCCTGGGGAAGGATGAGGACACACCTGATGCCCAGGTGTATGGGGGGGGGGGGCGGGGACTAACACACCTGGGGGACATAACTGACTTTGGAAGGGATCACTATGTTCTGGGAAAAAGAGGCTTTTCCCAGAGACCGAGAACATACACCAAATGATTCAACTAAGGCCGGGGGGGGGGGCGGCGAGGAAGAGGAGGTGCATGGGATAGAAGAAGGGGAGACCACCTGAGGGAAAGGGGAAGAAACACTAAGGGAGTGTGAAAAGCCAAGCAATGGAGAACATACCTGAATGGGAGGAGTAAGCTCCTGAGCCTTGGAAAGGGGTTAACCTGGTGGGGGGAAACAGCTGCATGGAGTAGGTTCCAAGACAGCACAGACCTTATGTCTCTTGGTCACTGCTGTGACCTCAAATAATGCATGACACATAGTAGGCACTTATCAAATGTCTGTTGAATGACTGAATGCATGAATGATCACCTGAGTCCTGGTGAGGTTGAGGGTTCATGAGAAGACATCTGGGGCCTGGGTGTGCATGTGGAAAGATAACACACCTTGGAGAGAAGAAATACATATCCATAAGAAGAAAGGAGTGGGGGCCCAACCCTAGAATACTCCAGTCTTGGGATAACCTCTAAAATCTCTGAAATGGTGGGGGAGACCTTTCTTTCTGGAGTACTGGCCAGTTTCCAGAACTGTCTGTGTTGGGCTTTGCAGGGCACTGGGGTGGAGACTTTGACTCCAGTCCCTTCCCTAGCCATGACGGACGGGATCCTAGGGAAGGCAGCCACAATGGAGATCCCCATCCACGGGAACGGTGAAGCTGGGCAGCTTCCTGAGGATGATGGGCTGGAGCAGGTGCTTCTGTTTGATTCTTCTCCATATTGTTTCAATTTAGGAATCCCAAATCATAAGCCCTGGGCTCTTACCCCATTCCATTAGTTTTCCCCTAACTTACCTAATTCCCGCCAATCTTTTTACAAATTTTCATTCTGATTCCATGCAGACTTCCCTTGTGTGCTCTCTCTGTGATGCTTCAATCCAAGCTTGTTCTCACCCCCCAAATGCTTCAGCTGCCCCAATGTTCCTGAAGCCCCCCTCTTCTCTGGCCTATAGGACCTCCAGCAGGTGATGGTGTCAGGACCCAACCTCAATGAAACCAGCATTGTGTCTGGTGGCTATGGGGGCTCCGGTGATGGACTCATCCCCACAGGTATGAATGATCAGAACAGGACAGGAAGCTTGTTTGGAGAGAGGGTAGGGTAATGGTTTTGGGGAGTATAGGGTATGTCTAAGATAGCTTGAAGTATGTCTGGAGATACTGGGAACTTCTGCTAGTATGAGACCTATGGACTGTCCTTAGCTAGAGCCCAAGGCTAGCGCCCAGGGTTGTCCAGCTGCTCTCACTTGCCATTTAGCCCCTAAGATGTGACCGTTTTTCCCTTCTCTGCTGCAACTACCCGAATCACGTTAAGAACTCTGTTTCACAGACATTCTCCCTGCTCTGGAGCTTGAGACTGATTTGGAACTCTGACGCTTCTCAGAGTTTTGGTTTAGACTCTAAAGTTTAGAGAAGCAAATATTCTTGAATCTCACACTGACTCAGATTCCACATGAGGATGTCAGTGAGGTTTCTTATTATCAGGACCCACCATCCTTGACCTCCCACCCCATTCTTAGCATATTTTCTTCCATCTTCTCTGCCCCTGTACACCAGCAACTCCCTTCCCCCACCCCAGTCCCCATCACCACCTCAGAAGGAGGCCATATGTATATTGGAATTTGGGTCTCAGGGCACAAGATACGAGTTCTGTTCCTAGTGAGTAGGAGAATCTCATTGTCTCTAGTTTCTGCTACTTCAGTAAAGTCATTTTCAAATGCTGGCTGGGAGGTATGGGTGGACCCACAGAAATGTCTGGTTATATCTGAGAGAGGCTGGTGTCAGAGAACTTGGTTCTTTAGGGTCTGGCCGCCATCCATCTCACAGTACCACTCCTGCTGGCCCTGGAGATGAGGTGGCTCGGGGCATCGCTGGAGAGAAGTTTGACATCGTCAAGAAATGGGGCATCAACACATACAAGGTGGGATTTAAGCACTTTTCCCTTCTCCCACACTTTCCCTGGGTACCTTTACCCCATATTCCAGATTCCACTATCCCATCTATGGCTGAGACTAGGAGTGTGGGGATGCTAGGGTCAATACCTGTTGGGGGGAGGGGCAGGGTGCTAGGGTCTCTGACCTATTCCCCCACTTCCCAATCAGTGCACAAAGCAGCTGTTATCAGAGCGATTTGGCCGAGGCTCCCGGACTGTGGACCTGGAGCTAGAGCTGCAGATTGAGTTGCTGCGTGAGACGAAGCGCAAGTATGAAAGTGTCCTGCAGCTGGGCCGGGCATTGACAGCCCACCTCTACAGCCTGCTGCAGACTCAGCATGCACTAGGTGACGCCTTTGCTGACCTCAGCCAGAAGTCCCCAGAGCTTCAGGTGCCTTGGTCAGGCCAAAGAGGGTGGGGGGGACTGGGCCCGGGCCCTCCCAGGCAGTCAGCCCTCAGCCTCCCTCCCTCCATCCCTCCTGCAGCCCAGAGGGAGAACCCCTCCAGGGTAGGCCCAGCCCTACCCCCAGCAGCACTCACCTGTGGAGGCAGCCTAAGGGTTTGTACAGAGGTTCAGAAGTTGGAGGGGTGGGGGAGGCGGCACACTAGATGCCTCACAAGTAACCCTTCTCTGCATCAGTGCTCGGCCTAATCAGAGCCCTTCCCTTGCCTGCTGCACTAGCTTTCCCTGTTCTCATCCTGTGAACTTATATGAGAACCCCACTCCCACATTCCTATCCCAGCCATCCCTGGGGTGGCCCCACTAACTTTCTGGCTAAGAGAGCCTTGCTGGAGGCAGTCCTTGGTTGTTCCAGTTTCCATGGCTGTTTCCTCCATGGGGAGGAGGGGAATGAGGGCCCTGTAGCTTTAGTCAGGTAGGAACTGTTGCTCAAGGCCTGTCCTCCCTTCTGCCCTCAGGAGGAATTTGGCTACAATGCAGAGACACAGAAGCTGCTGTGCAAGAATGGAGAGACCCTGCTAGGGGCTGTGAACTTCTTTGTCTCTAGCATCAACACATTGGTCACCAAGACCATGGAAGACACGCTCATGACTGTCAAGCAGTATGAGGCTGCCAGGTGTGGGCACCAGCAGAGCCCAGGGTTTTGGGAATTGACTGGCCTGGGTGGAATTTTGAGCTTTGGGGTCATAAGAATTGAGAAAGGATAGGAGAATATGTGTGGAGGACACAGCGGGTGGAGACCAGCCTGTATCACCCCTTCCCCAGGCTGGAATATGATGCCTACCGAACAGACTTAGAGGAGCTGAGCCTAGGCCCCCGGGATGCAGGGACGCGCGGTCGACTTGAGAGTGCCCAGGCCACTTTCCAGGCCCATCGGGACAAATATGAGAAGCTGCGGGGAGATGTGGCCATCAAGCTCAAGTTCCTGGAAGAAAACAAGGTGCCAACCCCACCCCTTTGTCCCCAGCCCACCTTCCCATCTGTAACACTGACCTTCTACCCCCAAGACCCTCCCCATTACTGGATGGGGGAAATACAGCCTGGCCAAGGGGTGGGATCTTCCCCCAGCCCCTTCAACTCCTGGACCTTTCTAGTCACCGGCCCTCCAGTCCCTGGCCCTTTTCTGTTGGAGGATTTGGCTCTTGATTCCAGGAACATAACTGGGAAAAATCATTCCCTGAGCTGGGGTACCAGAACCCCAGGCCCAGCAAATCAAGTCAGGTTTCTCCCATCAGACTGACCCTTATCCTTTGACTCCCTTAGTAGAGGTCAGCCCCACCCTAAAAACACCATCAGAGCAGAATCCATGTACCCCTGGTCTGGGCTCAGGCTCAAGAAGGGCTTCTGAGTCCAGTCTTAGCTGACCCTGCTGGACCCCCAGATCAAGGTGATGCACAAGCAGCTGCTGCTCTTCCACAATGCCGTGTCAGCCTACTTTGCTGGGAACCAGAAACAACTGGAGCAGACCCTGCAGCAGTTCAACATCAAGCTGCGGCCTCCAGGAGCTGAGAAGCCCTCCTGGCTAGAGGAGCAGTGAGCTGCTCCTAATCAAACCTGGCTATCAAGAAGGACATTGGGAGAGGCAGTCCCAGGGTGGGGGAGATTGGACATGGGACATCCCTTGCCACCTGCCCTCTGGCTTGGGTTCCCTTTCCCTGGCTGGGGCCTGACACCAGTTTTGCCCATACTGCTGTGGGTAGGGAGGGGGCTTGCAGGCCCAGCAGCTGCTGTCCTGTCCTTTATCTTCCTGGCCACTGGGCTTCATTCCCAGATCTTTTCCTTCACTCCACAGCCAAAGGCTATGACAGAACCACTCCCTGGCCAATGGCATTACTCCTCAGGCCTGTCCCCAGCTCCTGGGGTGTGCCCCCTGACCAATGGCAGGGCCTCAAAAGGCCCTGTCAGCCGATGGCAGCTCTTCTTGGGCTCCCCTGGGCCAATGATGTTGCCTCCAATACCCTTTGTCCCTCCTCTATGTGTCCCCATTGCAGAGAAGGGGACTGGGACCAAAGGGGTGGGGATAATGGGGAGCCCCATTTCTGGCCCTGCATCCAAATGGGCTTCCTCTCACCTACCCACCCAGTTTAATTGTGCTTAGAGCCCTGGAAGATTGGGACCTAGCACTAGGAATAAACCTTTCATAAAAGCAGGCCAGTGAGGTCAATTTGTGGGGGGACTCTAGGAGGGTGGGCTGGGTGGAGAAATGCTCAATGTGATCGTACACCAAAATCCTATTAAGCCAGAGGAGCAGAGGCCAGATAGCTGGAAGTCACAGGTTTTAGGAACAGTCGAGAGCCCACTCCTCCCCCAGCCCCAGCTGGAGCCAAAGCTTTATTTGCTCTTTAGGCCAGCACTGAGATAGCTATGGTCTTAAGAGCACAGGGCCTAGAGGGGGTTGGGCCCACTGACCTTCATCAGCCATTCATTCATACAGCAAATATTTACTGAGTGCTTTTATTTGCCAGGCACTGCTCTAGACCCTGGGGATACATCAGAGAATAAAACACAGTCCCTTCCCACATTGCTTATGGCCTGGTGGGGGATAGAGACAAGTAACCAGGCAACTACAATGCAGTGATGAGTACTAGGATACAGAAGTTCAAGGAGCTGTGGGAGTGCAGAGGAGGGGCATTTAGCAGAGACTGGAGTGCATATGGGCTGTCACCTTGAAAACTAAGACCTGAAGAGCAAGTAGACACAGGCAAAGAACAGAGAGAGAGCAGTCTAAGCAGAGAGGCCAGCATATGAGAGGGCCCTGATAGGACTTGGGAGGAATTCAGTTTGGAATGAAAAGTGGAAGGGGAAAGGCTAGAGAAGGACAACAGAGGTGAGGCAGTGAGGGGGTCACACTGGACCTGTTCAGGTTTATGATTAAGGACTTTTGCTTTTAGGAGAAAGGGAGCTGTAAAGCTTTTTCAAGCACATATTTGATGACATGAGAGAAATCTAAAATTGAGGGAAGTAGTCCTCATGAGGCTTGAGACAGTTTATACAGACCCTGGGCCCCTCACATTGGGTAGTCTAGTAACCCTGGCCCCAAACCTGAAAGCAAGCATGAACCCTGAGCCTCATTCACCAGCACTGGCCACCAGAACTCATCAGGTGGATGAAAGGGTGAGGGTGCATCCAGGTGTTGAGCCATATCAACCTTGTTTGAGGCAAGAATTCCCCCCCCCCCCCCGCCCCCAGCACTTCAATTCAGTCAGCGCCCAGGTATCACCACTTCTGTGCTCCTCAACCAAGGAGAGCTCCAGAATTTTTCAGCACTCTGCACTACCTTTGGAGGGCTGGAGGAAGAGGACAGCCCACTCAGCAGGTTCTTATAGCGCTGAGATCCGTGCAGCCTGATTTTGCTCTTTGCCACCGATTCTACAGCTCCCAGGCAGCCTTTCTCGGTTTGGGTCAGCCTGCAGCCATCTGACCAGAGCTTGATTACCAGGTTGGGTGCTTCACATACAAACCCCCACTTTGTGGGCCACTGAGGACTTCCAACATGAAAGGTACTGAATCTGCAGGTAACTGGAGGCAGGCTCTAAAGCAGAGCTCAAACCCTGATTACACACCACTTTCTGGCGGAGTTAGCTGATGAAGGTTAATGTCTGAGGAGCCAAGGGCCCTCAGTTTCTTCCCCTGTAAAACACAGCTAATAAAAGAAGATACCTATTAAGATTATGAGTACTGAAGGAGACAATATATGTAAAGTGATTCGTTATGTTTCTGGCACATAATAAGCACTCAGTCCCTGTTAACTGTTAACAGTTTTCCACTGGGGCTGCTTTCCCACAATGCGGTGATTAGGAATTGCTCTGGTTTTTGGAGTGTGGAAGGGAATCGCTGGATGGTCTGAACCATAATCTGGCGAGGGGGCTCCTGAGGGAGAGTCAGGCATACAGAGCCAAATCCTGTCCCCGCACCTTTCACGCCGTCCGCCCCTTCTTCTAGCGCTCTGTGTTCTACCCTTCCGCCGCCCAGGGATCCGTGCCGAGGTACAACTATCCCTGTGTCCCCCTGCACAGTAGAGAGCACACTAGCATATTCCAAAGGTGCCCCCCAAGAAAGACGGGAAGTGCACCTCCTGGAGGGCCCGGACCGGCTTCCAGAGTCCGAAATCTCTGCTGCCCAGTTGCGTTATCGTGGCGGAGCCTCAGCCCAGTACCCGAACCTACTACGCAGCCCTGCCCCAGAGCGGTCGGGAGCCAGAAGCCGCTGGCAGGGATTAGGATCCGGGATCCGGTTCACACGGCTTCCCAGCCTGCCGGCGGAGGCAGCTCCCGCATGAGCCTCGAGGGCGTTGGGGGAGCCGGGAGGGTGGGGTGGAGGCGGGCGGGGCCTCCGCCGCGGCGGGCGGGGCGTGGGTGGGTCTTCAGCACCCGAGCCACCCCCTCCCCCGGCAGGTCCGCAGCCCCGCCCCGGCCCCTCCCTCCGGCCTGTGCGGCGGGTCCGGCGGCGGCGCCGGCGCGGGGACAGGCGGAGGCGCGGGACGTGGGGCGGCGCCGCGGGCAGGGCTGGGCGGACGGGCGCTGGCAGCGGGGGCAGCGCCGCGGGCCGCTCCGAGTGGCCGCAGTCTGGGCCTTGGTCCTCCCATCCTGCTCCGCCGCGGTGAGTGCGACAGGCGGCCCCCAGGGGTGCGTTTGTGTCCCTGTCTGCCTGGCTCCGGGTCCAAGTCCGAACGGCGGTGTGTCTGTCCAAGTGTCTGTGGGTGGGGGCACAGATGCTTTTCGAAAGCTGTGTCTGTCTCTGTCCACGTGAGGCGTGTCCGTGTCCGTGAGAGCAGTGGGGGGATTCTTCGGGCTGTGGCTGCTCACGTGAGGTCCATGTTTGAGGGGGGAGGCGCGGGTGGATGGGTGATGGTTCCTTGGAGGAGCTCGAGGTTTGGGAGCTTGTGTATGTTGGCGGAGGGTGTCGAACGCTTCGGCCGAGGGTGGTGGTGGTGTGGCGGGTGGGGTTGCTGAATGGGACTCTGCAATCTTGTGGCCCAGCTCGTCTGAGGGGTTCCTTTCTCCCTGGTGCAGACACTTCCACCCCTGGCTCCCCCACCCCCTTCATCCTCCTTAGGCACCCAGAAGCCCACCAGTCCGGGTGGAGGACACTCTTTTCCTCCTCTAGCGCTGCTCCCTGGACAGGAAGCCTCATCCGGAGGCTGCTTGTTGTAGGAAAGGACCCCTCTGATTCCCCTTCAGCCTGGGCCCCGCCTGGAGGACCCCAGGCCCCTCCCTGGTTCTAGCCTCCTCCCTTCTGGACTTGGCTTCAGATCCTGGGCTGCAAACCTGCAGGGACAGATGGTTGCAGGTTGGGGGGGGGCAGGCTGCACCCCAGGGAGGTCGGTTTGACTGAAGGCAGGCCCTGGGCTTGTTCCTGGTGTGGGGGATCTCTGATGTGGACAGCATAAACCCACAACTAGCTCCAGTAGGAAGACGAGATCTGCGAGGTTGGAGTGGGTGCAGAGGTCTTTTTCACAGGTCTTTCCCTGTTTGTCTGTCCAGCTCACCAGTGCCCATTCATCCCCTAAGTAGGGCTCTGATTTGCTGCAGAATTGGAATCAGAGCTGCAGGCCTGACAGGTGCCCTGCCTCTCTTGACTTGCATGCCTCCGGTGACAGAGCACTTGCTACCTTTACTGTGGAAGAGCTTTTTTATGTTAAGTAGATGTCTTTTTCCTTGGAACTTTGTTTACTTGTCTTGTTATTGCCTGTGCTTTTGCCTCTCTGTCTGGCGAGAGGGAACTGCAGTGATTTAAACATGGCTCTCCTGTCACCAACATATACTGAGCACCCTCTGTGTGCCAGGTGCTGCCTCAGCCACTTAGGGGACAATAGCATTCTTGCTGAGAGAAGAGCTTGAGCAAAGGCCCACAGTTGTGATAATACAGTCGGTGTTCAGAAAAACAGCAAAACCATATGGCTAGAGTAGAGGGTGCCCAAATGGAGTGTCATGGGTGCCCTAAACTTAGCAAACATTTATTTTGGAAGGGAGGTGAGGGGCAACTACAACCATCCTCTAACACACCTAGTCTTACTGTGGAAATCAGCAATCAAATCCCCAAGGTGGGATTTAATCATGGCACATAATACAGTCTGTAGGGACCTTTGGCTGGAAAGAGAACCTTGGGAATCACAGATTTGGGGAACAAAAAGACCCCCCTCCAATGTCAATATATAAGTAAGGGGATGGAGTAGAAACTTGCCCAGAGTCTTACCTTGCAGTAGTGAGATTAGTGACAGAGTCAAGGCTAGCTCCTAAATCTCGTGACCTGTTACTTGGTTACACTTTAGAGGCAGAATCAAGAATATAGTCATAGCTAGTATCTGAAAGGTAAAAGAACAGGAAGAATTGAGAAGATTCCCAGGGTTCTGGCTCACGTGGCCAGGTAGGTAGTGGTATGTTTTATTGAGAGGAGAAATACCAGCAGGAAGAGTAGGTTAAGGGAAGATGAATTCAGTTTTAGACTAATCTCTGTGCATCATCCATGTAGAGATGTCCAAGATATGGTTGGATATATGGGCCTGGTGTTCAAAAAAGTTTCCTGCAAAGGAGATAAGGCTTTGCAAGTCAAGTGGATGGTAACTGAAACCATGGGAAATGATGAGATTTCCCAGGCAGAATATGAAACTAAGAGAAGAGGCCCTTGATCAAAGCCCTGGGGAATTAGACATTTAAGGAATGGGCAGTGAAGGCATGGCCAGAGAGGCAGGTGGAGAACCCCTAGCAAGTGAATCATGAACACACCTAGTACAACCTCTGCCCTTTTGAGTCTTGCTCTCTTGCCCCAACTGGTCCATCTTTCTTAATTTTTCATGCTTCTGTTCCTTTACTCACTGTTTTCCCAATGTACCCGTCAAGCTCCTGCAAGACTCAGCTCATATATCCCTTCCTCTGGAAGCCCTCTTTATTCTCCTCCACCACCTTCAGAGTTAGAGATTTCCTCCTTTTTTCAGCCACAACAGTTTGAATATGTCAGTATCATGACACCACATTACGGTTGTATATTTCCATGTCTCTTTCCCACACTAGTCTGAGAACTTGTGAGGGGCATGGTGTACATCTGTCTCCGCTTTGTGTCTCCAGTTCCCAGGTTAAGAGCCTGGTCCAGAGTATGCCCAGGGCAGTCTGATTGTTTGCTAGGCTAATCAGCTGATTGGATGGTTCATCTA